AGGTGAGTCTAATGGGTTAGGTGTGGTGCACACTTGTCAAACATAGCATTAGGTAGCTTAGGAATAGCCCTAAGATTGATTAGAGCCAACTTCATTTATGGAGGTTTTTGAATCGGAAGTGAATGGAGGGTCAAATGATTGACCGGACGCTGATTTAATGTTGACCGGACTCACAGGGGCTGTGCCCGGTCAGTGTTCAGTGCGCACAGCAGAAGCCAAAGAGAGACCAGACGCTGCGCATTCATTGGGACCGGACGCACTAGTGCCGACCAGCTATAGCAGCTAGGTCTCAGTGTTGATGAAGGATCGAACGATGAACAGTGGATGACCGAATGCTGTGTTTGCAGCGTCCGTCAATATCAGTAAAGTTCCAAAGAGGAAACTTGAGGACCGGATGCATCAGGTACAGGAGGATCGGACGCTCCTCTGTGTCCGGTCACTTCAACGGCCCTCTCTGATAGGGTGACGCCACTTAGCCGTTGGGTACTGACTGGCGCGTCCGGTCACATGGACCTGCGCGTCCAGTCAACCCGAACGATGCTGAGTTGGACCCCAACCGTTATGTTTTAAATGGGGGTATAAATGCATATCCTACTCGTCCAATTGAGCTCTCTTGGCCATTTGTTCAGCTGAGAAACACCTTTGGAGTGCAAGGGAGAGCAAGAGCCTAATGGGGTGATTGAGATTCAATAATCCAAGATTAAGGGCCTCATTAGTGCATAGGGAGTAGCAAGTGTGCATCCACCTTTCCCATTTGGCTTGTCTTGGTCAAGTGAGAGTTTTTGCTTATTACTCTTGGTGATCGCCATCACCTAGACGGCTTGGTGATCATCCGGCGGAGCTTGTGGATGACCCAAGTCATGCTATGAGCGGTTGTGGGCGATTCACCACGACGGAGTGTTGAAGAATCAACCCGTAGAGAGCACTTGATCCTTGCGCGGATCAAGGGGGAGCTACACCCTTGTGCGGGTGCTCCAACAAGGACTAGTGGAGAGTGGAGACTCTCCGATACCTCAGAAAAACATCGTCGCGTTCCTCTCCTTCTCTTTACTTTGAGCATTTACATTTGAACAATTCAATTCATGTCTTTACATTCTTAGAATTGCTAAGCTAGAGTAGGATTGGAACCTAATGTCCAAAACTTTTGTGCAGTAGAACAATAGAAACACTTCTAGGCACAAGAGGGTGAAATGGTCTAAGTGTAGGGCTTAATTATTGCAAGAAATTTAGAATTAGCCCATTTCACCACCCTCTTGGGCATCTTGATCCTTTCAATTGGTATCACGCTTCAAAGATCTATTCTTTACACCTTAGTATCATTTGGTACTAGTTACTCTCCCACAACTAAAATTCATGCATATGTGCAAGCTTTAATCCAAACACTAGGACTTGGAAAACCCTAGTGTTGTGCATTTGATATTACATTTTGTGGCACTAGGCGGTGATTGTGATTGTGGATTTCTTATTACTTTGGTGATTGCCGTCACCTAGACAATTGGTGATTTGGTGATTGGTGAGGGGAGTTGGTGATTGTATCCGCCCCCAATCAAGATTTTTGTGAGGGGTTTTTGTGCCTATTCTTCGTCGGAGTTCGCAAAAGACAACTCTAGTGGATTGCTCGTGGCTTGTGGATCCTCATTTGTGTTGGTTCTTACGGCACCCTTGTGTAGGGCTAGGAGTGTGATCCTATTAGCGCGTGAGCCACCAAGTGAGCATATCGCCACAACATGGAGTAGGTTGTCGGCAGGCCAACGAACCACGGGGATATATTTTGTGTCACATTGTCTCATTGGAATTATATATTGACACTTGCCCGGTTTGGTATATCGCACTACCACTTTTATTTCAATTCCTAGTATATTTGTGTAGAGCTTGCTTGCTTACCTTGTGTAGCTAGTTAAATTGTTTAGTTGTAATTAGTTGTAACTAGCTCTCTTACTAGCTCACTAGTTAGTGTAGTTGCAACATAGCTTAATTGATTGTGTGATATTGATATAGAGATCATAGTGACTAGCTTTGTGTAGGTGGCTTGCAGTGGTAAAAGTAGAGCAAGAGAAAATTGTTATTTCACCATCTTATTGTCTAACAAGTTGCTCTAGTCAATTTGTAGAATTTTTATTAGGCTATTCACCCTCTCTAGCCACTTAGGGCCTTTTAGAAGTGCGTCCTGTGGAAGCTACAGATGGTGCATTTGTCGATGTTATGGACCCAAGGTATACCTCACCGCCTGAAGAAGAGCCCAAGTAGGACGAGTGGGCTGAAGCAAAGTGTGTTGACGCAAAGATCGATCACACACTACCAAAGGCTAGATCGCCCGTGTAGCAAACGAACCAAAGAACGCAACGGATAACTATCACGCTTTCGCGGTGAAGAGTGGTAGGTTTACAAGAAATCCAGCAAAGGATAACCAATCGTGCTAACATGACAAAGAACAACTAGTTTTCAGGCAAACTAGCAAAGGAACCATCAACGCTCTCTCTCGGGTGGGACCCCTTGGGGCAAGGACATCGGTGGGTTGCCCTAGGTTGGATGGCAAGCCTAGGGATCCATCCTTAGTCATTGGACCAAGAGATGAACAACAACATAGGGTTGGAAAAAGATTAAGGAAAAAGGGTATTAAATGTAATTTTGATGATTAGATGTTGGATACCTCAACCGACTGTGTACCCCATATTGTATATAGAGTAGAGGTAGTCTTATCCGGTTGGAAAATCAATGTGGTACGATTTTGTGGGGGCTTCACTCTTCCTCCTCACCTTCACCGAGGGTCAGCTGGCTAGAGGCCGAGGGTAACCCACAGGAGAGGGGACAAAGAATGGGTGCGAGGTTAGTGAGAACAAGTGCGGTAAATTCAGGAGTAAATGGACATCAATTCATCATCTCTATAATTGTGCCCTGGGTATTTATAGCCATATATACTCGGGGCGCGACAAAATTACAATTACAACCAAACAAGCTGGGAAGGTTTGTTACAAACACTTGGGGCAGGAAAGGCATTTTACACCCTGCCCTCAGCTACCCACTTGACGTCGTCGAGGCTCCCTTCAGGTGGACCGCTTCTTGCCATCTTCTGCAGCGGTGTTCATGGGACAGTGTCAAGGGTCCGCGAGATATACCCGAGGGTCTTCCTTCGCGTCCCACCCCACAGATAGCCATGGGCCCTTTAAAATAAGAGGATGAAGTACCTTTAGCTAGGAGGTAGACCTGAGCAAATTGAGCCTGGTCCAACCCAGCCCATGGGCCCGGCCCAAGCCTGATGGATTTTAGCCCATCCACGAACCTTACTAGACAGGGCCTGGGCACAAATCCCACTACCCAGAAGGTCTTCATGCGAGCCCGGTGAAATCACGGGTGGCCTTGTCGACAAATGCGTAGCTCCATGTCGAAGGTCCTGCGGAGGGGTGCAGCGGGCGAGGGCTCAGGTTTGGTCGAATGAGAGGTGGGTTAGCGGATCGAGGGCGTTTCCCCAATGAGCAGACCAGAGGGTTTGAGAGGGATGAGTGGGCCCCATTAGGGGATGAAGAGAGACGAATGGACCCTATGTGTCAGATGGCTCATCCCATATTAGAAGTACTAGAACCAAACACAAAACATCGATGGTCTGAACCCTTGCAACCAAACACGGTAGTCCCTTCCCTAGAAACAGGGTTGAGGCTATCCCATCCCTCATTGACTTGGAACTGAACACATAATAAGAGGAGGAGAAGGGGAAGTGGCTGAAGCTGCGGATCCACTGGGGCGAGGGCAGAAGGAACAAGGCATGGAGAAGGCGCCGTGGCAAAGCTGGAGGCGGAGTAGGTGATGTGACGGAGGAAGGAAGGCGAAGCTACCAGCAAGGAAGTAAGGAGACGACGTCTGCGTGGATAACTTCGTTGTATCCGATTCGTTTATGGCACACTGATGATCCATTTCCGGTGCATGAAGGCGAACACGTAGGCACCACAACCCGTCACCGGCCATGCCCGCCACTAGTAGAGGCACGATCGACACTGAGCGATATTCTGAGGACACATGAAATGAAGGCATTGGTTGTGGAGGCGCAGGTGCTCTCGTCGTCCTCCAATTCTTTCCGCATTGCTCATTGCCGGTTGATGTTTTCCATGTTGTAGATCTAGTTAGAACATCTCCAGCATTAGTAGAAAACTCCAACCCAAAAACAAGTTATTGAGGGAGATATAAAACGTGTTTTTGGGATTTTGAAGGTCTTCTCTCTAACAGAATGAGAAAATCCAATCTCCAGTGAGAAAAATAGTGGATTAGGGGAGGAGAGGTCTCCCCTTAATTTGAGGGGTGGAAGGTTATGATTTGAGGGAGTGAGAATTTTTTTCTTATTAGGGTTAGGTTTGGGGAACTGCTGGAGCTACAAGACCTTCAAAATAACAGTTTTTTCTCATTGGTGTTAGAAAAGGAAAAGTGCTGAAGATGCTCTTACTCCCTCCATCTAGGGGTGGAGAAAGGGGGAGAGCAGGGGCCTAGGCCCCCTATGAATATGAAATCTCCACTGCTTTTTTGAAATTCAGATAAATTTTGAAAATTTTGCATTGCTGTCCCTCCTAACATTCAAAAAATAACTTCCTGGCTCTACCCTGCATCCGTCCTAAAATGAGTGTCATTATCACTTTTCGAGAAGTCAAACGTTTTTCACTTTGACTAAACGAAAATATTAATATTTATGTTGCATAATTAGTATCGTTAGATGAGGCGTTAAATATATTTTAATAATAAACTTATTTAAAGATATAAATATTGCTAATATTTTGTATAAACCTTGTGCAAGTTGAGAAAGTTTAAGCAGCACGCATATCATAATGACACCTATATTGGGAGAGAGGGAGTACTAACTAATTACACCTTTTATTTGAAAAAAATGAAATGAAAAAAAAAGAAATACGTGATGACTGACATAACACAGGACCAAGGCGCTATTGTCCAAGCATCAAAGAACACCTTTTTTTTACAAAGCATCAAAGAACACTTGACATGTGTAGAGTTGCCACTCATCATCTGTGGTTCGTGTCGACTTTGCACATCTCCTCTGACAGCCTCCGCAGCGCAGCGTAGGATGAGCCACCCTCCTCCACGGCGTTCCTGCAGGCGGCCCTCATCTCCATGGCCTTCTCCCTCGCCTTCCTCCCCTCCTCGCCACTGCCCATCAGCTCCTTCACCGCTCGCTCCAGCTCCGTGGCCTCCACGAAATTGTTCGTCTTCCTGTCCACCTTCATCGCCACGGCGACGCCTATGTAGGCCACCAGCGTGAACGCGTTCAGGTGCTGCTCGGCGTACAGCGGCCACGGCGCCATCGGCACGCCGAACCACAGGCTCTCGAGGACCGAGTTCCAGCCGCCGTGTGTCACGAAACCACCCACGGCGGCGTGGGCTAGGATCTCTTTCTGCGGCGCCTTCGTCGGCCACACCAGGCCTCTGCCCTTGGTCCGCTCGAGGAAGCCCTCGGGGAGCAGCTCGGCGAGGTTCGCGTCCGACGGTAGCCGCTCGCCGGGTGCCGGTGGGCCGCGCAGCACCCAGAGGAAGCGGCGACCGCTGCGCTCCAGGCCGTGCGCGATCTCGTGCGCCTGTGGCGCGGCGAAGAACCCAACGCTCCCGAAGCAGAGGAGCACCACGGAGGCCGGGGGCTGCGTGTCGAGCCACCGCACGCACTCGTGCGGCTGCTCGGTGGGCGGGCTGAACGAGATCACCGGCCCAATTGGATAGACCGTCGGGGCACGGACACCGCGCGTGCACCGCCCGTCGGCGATGGCAGTAAGCACGCTCTGCTCGAGCTCGGCAGCCGTGTTGACGATGATGCCGTCGGCCTCGGCGAACCGCCTGCCGTGGTACACGAACCACGTGTATTTGGGGCTATTCTTGTCCATCACTGGCTTCGGGAGGGAAGACGGCGGCACCGGCGGCAGCCCAGGCACGTCCACGGCGCCCTCCATCTCCTCGAACTGGACCGTCACCTCCTCGTGGAGCGACGGAAGGCGCAGGAAGAACGCGAGCATCCCGGCGCTGGCGGTGAAGTAGACGTACGCGGGCACGGCGAGCTCGCGGGACACGTCGAGCAGCGTGGTGCAGAAGAAGTCGATGACGAACGCGGCCACCGGGGACGCCAGGCTGGAGATCGCCGCCCTGACGTGGGGCGCGTGCAGCTGCACCAACCTGGAGACGAAGTCCACGATGCCGCGGAAGTCCGGGGGCTCGACGGCGGGGAGGCGGACGAAGCGGATGCCGAGGCCGGAGGCCTCCTCCCTGCGTATGTGGGCGTCGACGTCGGCCGCGACCTCCTCCGTGGGAGGTGGGATGACGAGCACGGTGAGCGAGAGCGCGCGGCCGCCGCGGGTGATCAGCCGCTTGCCGGCCTCGAGCATCGGCATGAGGTGGCCGGCACCCCACACGGGCAGTAAGACGACGGTAGGGGCTGCCATGGATGGATGGGGACGGGGCAGGAAGGTGAGGTGCTTGTGCTTGGATGTGGAAACTGCAAGAGAGAGAAGTGCTCTGAGCTCCACTGGTGGCTGTCGTTCTCTCCAGCACGATCGCGAACGAGATTTCCATTTTAAAATGGTTGCGTCCGAGACACGAGCTCCATCTAAAATACTAGTATTGTAGTACTAGAGTTATTGTGTACTTACGGAGCTGGTGAGGCGAGCGGAGAGTGGAGCAATGCGGTGGTAAAACGTGCAAGAGGGAAAGCTGTGACAGATCACAAGTCACGTCAGGGCACTCCCAATACAGACTCTACAATGATTTATATGTCTATTTATTACCTTCTATTTATTGATTTTTACTGACATGACAATATATTTATTGAAGAAAGAGATGGGAGAAACAAGAAAAGACGTCTAACATACAGCCTGTTCGGGAGGCCGTATCGTATCGTGGATTATTTACTGCTGGCTGGTTTGGTGTGAGAGAAAAACACTGTTCCCGGCTGGAAATTTACGATCGTTTACGAGCAAGCGAACAGGCTGATAGACGTTGAGTCTACGCTTCGACCGATGCCGAAGAAACCAGCCCCCGTGCGCATTGCGGAGTTGTCCATCGTTTCCATGGATCCGGTGCGCCTTCCCCTTCCCTCCCATCGCCGCCACCCTTGCTCCCGCGCGCGCCCTCGACCCCGCTCCCGCGGGCGCGCTCTGAGCTCTCTCCCGCGCTCGCTCTTCCCTTTCCCGCGCGCTGCACCGCCCTCTCCCGCGCACCGTCCCGCGAGCTCCTGCGCGCCTTCTGCTCTCTCCCGCGCCGGCTGCAGATCGAGGTCCCCAGGCCCAAATCGAGGTACGCCCCCAAGCTCCATGACCATCCCCAACTGATCTCCTCCCGACAACAATCTTTAACCCAAATCCATACCCAAATCTCTACATAGCTCCCTTCGATTCATATCGAGGTCCATCCATAGCTCCCTTCGATTCCATCTCCTCCCCCATCCACTGTGACCCAAAAATATCCCCAAATCTCATAGATGAATCGATTAACAAAGACTGATTCTCGGCAAGGCAGAGGTGTTCGTAGAACCCATTCTCCATCCGTCCGTGCTGTTGGGACCTGTGCTCCAGTCGCCGGAGCTGCTGCAACCCGTGCTCAAGCTGGAGCCACCGGTGTTCCTCAAGATGCAGGTGTTCCTAGAGGAGCTGCTGCACCCCGTGCTCAAGCTGGAGCCACCAGTGTTCCTCAAGATGTTGGTGTTCCTAAAACTTGTGCTCCTCAAATTGGTGCTTTTCCCGTTGGTGCATGGTGGTCAACGTCATCTACTAGTGAAGGGTAAGTCATCAGAGAAGTGTTCTGTGGATATAGATTGTTTACCTGCATATGCAGTGCAAAGTGTTTCATTTTCAGTCACTAGTGATGTATGGCATACTGTGCTATTTTGGTGAAGATATGATTAATTAGAGCATGGGAATTCATATATTTGTAGGTTATACCCACCAGGAGGGTTCACAAATTATCTACAGTCAAATCCATTTGCTAACCATCCTAGTGGAAATAATATTCCAGAAAATTTTCACTTTGTTGGTGCTGCAATGGGTCAGTCTTCAATGTCTCCAATTGATTTGGGTGCTAGAAGAACTCCTTCTCCAGCACAAGAAACTGATGATCTAGTGGATGATGTAGATGTAGAAGAAACTGAAACAATTAACGTCGATGAGGATTTTAGAACCGACAGGCGTTTGAACTGGTCGGTTGATGAAGATAAACGATTGGTACATTCCCTTTCTCACTTTTCAACTTGAGAGCTATGTCCATGTATGCCCATTGAGATTATTTTGTAATTGTAGGCCAGTGCTTGGTTGCGTAATTCAAAGGATCCAGTCGATGGAAATAGCAAAAAGGCAGAGCAGTATTGGGCAGATGTTACTGAAGAATACAACAAGAACACAGAAAATAGCCGTAAGAGGAACCGGAACCAACTGAAAATACGTTGGGATCGTGTTAAGAAACCATTAACTGAGTTCCATGGCTGTTGGGTAAATGCTGATAGAGTGTGGCAAAGTGGGATGAGCGACGACCAGTTGACTGACAAAGCATGCGAGTATTATGCCGGTTCACATGATGGTAAGGCCTTCACTCTAGTGCATATGTGGAAGGTAGTACGTGGTGAACAGAAGTGGTCAGCATATCTGAATAGGTTGAAGAAGGAAAAGGAAAAGAGTGCAAAGGCTAACGCTAACCCATCTGCAGTGGTGAATTTGGAATTAGATGGAGAAAAGCGACCTATGAGACATAAGAAAGCAAAAAAGGAACGCAATGGCAAAAAGAAGGCAACTGATGCTTTGTCTGATTTCAGTGGAAAACTTGAGAAGTTCATTGAAGCAAGCACGAGGAATAGCGAAGAGAGAGAAGATGACTGAAATTCAGCAAAGTTTGGCTGATAAGAAGATTGAAGCAGCTAAGCTTAGTCATGAAGCAGCCCATGAACAAACTAAGTGTAAAATGCTACAAACTTACACACAGCTGATGCTTGCGCCTACTGATCAACTTAGTGCAGATGCTTTGGCCGAGAGAAAGTTGGCACTAGAGAGCCTGAGACTTGCTTTATTTCCTAAGGTATGATATTGTCGACCCTTCTTCAATTGGTTATTTAATTGCTGGGAAGTGTTAACTGATAAACTTGTAGTTTTCTGAAATTGATTCTGCAGTAGAAAGTGTATGCAAACAAATGAGACCATCCAAATAATTTCTATAAGGTAACTGAAATCCTTCCACTATTTTAATTCCTATGATCAGTGCTATTTTAATTCATGTGATCAGTGCTTTTTGCATGCAAGTGTGAAACTCCTTTCACTATTATTTTCATGCAAGTGCGCACTGTTTCCACTAGTTTTTGCGCATGCAAGTGTGGACTGTTTTCTGCTACTCTCTTTCTGCCACTGCTGCCCACTGATCTGTAATCCATGGACACATTTTCGCCTAATCCAGCCAACAATTAATGGATGACTACTTCTCGCCTAATCCAGTCTACAATGAGACACATTTTCGTAGAAGATTTAGGATGAGGAGACCCCTCTTTCTGAAGATTGTTGAGGCCTTAAGTGGGTGGTCTGAGTATTTCACCTTACGACTGGATGCTCTGAATCGCCCTGGATTCTCGCCAATTCATAAGTGTACAGTAGCGATTCGTCAACTGGCATATGGCGGTTCTGCAGACTAGCATGATGAGTATCTGCAGATGGGAGAAAGTACTGGTGTGGAGTGCTTGAAAATGTTTGTTAAGGGTGTCATTGAAGTATACGGTGAAGTATACTTGAGACGACCCACAATACAAGATGTAGAACGATTGTTGGAGATCGATGAGCGTCGTGGTTTTCCTGGCATGATAGGGAGCATTGACTGTATGCATTGGCATTGGGAAAAACGTCCCTACGCATGGAAGGGACAATATACTCGTGGTGATCATGGTGTACCAACAATCATTCTAGAGGCCGTTGCTTCACATGACCGATGGATATGGCATGCTTTCTTTGGAGTGGCAGGATCCAACAATGACATCATGTGCTGAATCAATCTACTTTGTTCGGCGATCAGTTAAGAGGAGAAGCTCCCCAGGTGCAGTACTTTGTGAATGGAAGGCAATATACCAAAGCTTATTATCTTGCAGATGGCATATACCCAGAGTGGGCTGTTTTTGTTAAGTCCATATGTGCACCACAATCAGCTGAGCACAAGCTGTTTTCAGAACATCAAGAGGGGGCAAGAAAAGATGTTGAATGTGCATTTGGGATTTTGCAATCTCGTTTTTGCATTTTGCGTTGGCCGGCACGTCTATATGAACAAGGGGACCTTGAGGATATCATGTTAGCTTGTATAATCCTTCACAACATGATAATTGAGGATGAGAAGCATATAGAGGATGTTTCTCTTGACTTGAACGAGGAAGCAACCACGTCGACTGTTCAAGCATCTACAATCTCTCAAGGACATGACCCAGTGATGGAAGAAGTACTACAAAGAAATGCCGATATTCGTGATCGTGAAGCTCACAGGCAACTTCAATCTGATTTTATTGATCACATCTGGCAAAAGTTTGGGAATTGAACTAATTAGGTAGAAATATTAATTTATATACTAGCCTCTTACATAAATACATTCCTATCACTATACTACTGTGGTTCTGTTAACTGTCCATCTCTTTTTCTTACAACAAAGTTAATTTACTAGCTCATCTTATTTTACAGGTTGATGATCAGGACTTGAGAATGTTGATGGCTTCTATCTGGAGGATGCTGGACATGTCGACTTCCAGAAAGACTTCTGAAGTCACGGCCGGAGATTATCTTAATATATACTATTATCTAATTATTTTGGCTTTGCTATCTATATTTCTATTCTTATTGTAATGGACGACGGTATCTATGTCATGCCTGTTTAGGTGCATGCCACTGGTATTTATATTTCTATTCCTATTGTAATGGACGACAGTATCTATTGTTGCTGCAGTGTTGCTACTGGTCGTGCTGCAGACAGGTGTTTTTAGCACTTGTGCTCCTTCAACAGTGAGTTGCAGGGCATACTATGGCTCACGTTGCCACAGACGATCTTCTTTGTTTGTGGGGGCATGTAGATGCTCATTAAATTTTTTTCTCCATGAAAACTATTTGTATAAACTTGTATTGGGAAGGATGGTTTCTAGTGATAAAGTCTTAAAGCTATGGAAACCATGATAGAGTCTAGCATTGGGAGTGCCCTCAGAGGACCTGGCAACCGCTACCCTCAGCGTGCGCATCAGGCAAATGCCACGTTCGCTGGACTGATAAGCCATGACTAAAAGTACTAATGATTGATGGTTGATTTATTGTGAGAAAAAAATATTATTCGTTAGTTAAAAAAATACGATTTATAAGCCAAGCGAACAAAGCAAAAAATGGCCAAGCCGGATCAAGGGCAGCAGCAACGCAGGCAGACAACAACAATGGCCTTAAATCCAGAGGCT